TAATTCCGAACAGGCCGGCGGGATTTCGGAGCATCGTAGCGCGCGCTTTTCAAATTTTGTTTTCTTTTTTATCGCCGGTTGCTTCATTTATGATAAAATTCATTTAAAAAAAGGAGAAAAAACCAGATAATAATAAAAAATGAAAACAACCAAATGAGTTGGGATACAAATGAAATGGATTTTGTAAATGAGATCAGAACAAGGCACTGACAACAGTAAATGATGAGATAACAGGGAAAAGAATGAAAATGTGATTTAGGGGAAAAAGATAGAACAAAAAAGTTGAAAAATGATTAACAAGGAGCCATTGGAGCTGGAGGAAAAGGGTAGAAGAGGGGAGACAAGAGTGGTTTAAGCATCATTGGGTCCACTGGTGCGCTGTTTGCCGATTCTTCGCATGTCTTCTCTTGATTGGTTCCTGAAATATAATTTTTCGGAGTGAATGTAGAAAGACCTTCTCGACTTGTGTAAATTGAGCTCACTATCAGAGAAATCTATCTATTTTTTTCTTGTTTTTTTCGGTGATCCCTTGCATCGTTTTTACGTAATCCTTTAAGCTGAAAAGGGCAAAAATTATCTTACCTGCAGAGTTTTCTTCGAATTTAAAATCTTCAAAATATTCGTATTTTTGTCGGTTCATAGAATTACTGTCTTCTATAGAAGTCGTATATATAAATTGAACTTTGAATATTCGGCTGTCCCTAAAAAATCACCTAAAATTTTGCAAAAACGTGGACAAAACATTAAAATATGTTCCAGAAAATATAGTTTAAATAATTGAGCGAAAAAAAAGGCAAAAGTTGAGAGAAAAACCCATTTTCCTGACGAAAAAAATTTAGGACAACAAAAAAAACCAAACAATTCATCCGCGGCAGCTGAGTCATTGATGGCGCATTTCTCGTGGCAACTTCGGTATTAGATCTAGTCCAGATCTAATTCCGAATGAAGTCAGATCTAATTCCGAATTTCGAGTTATTCGATCTAATTCCGAATGAAGTCAGATCTAATTCCGAACCATTTACCTGAGGACCTTTTCGTGCATTTGCGCGTCAACGTGTTTGCTTACGCTGCATTGTATTTTACGACAAACTATTGTCTATTTCAATAAAACGTGG